TGTCCGCAGACCGTACTGGGTGGTTGACAATTATCGCCTGCCCTTGTGTAAGTTTATGGATTAAATGATATACCCTTGGATAATCAATAGATGGATATGATATACTAGTTAGATATTTCAATCTCTCCTACTACGCTCGTTTTCTTAGCAACAAGACTCTATGCTTTCCATATGCGATCTCTAATGGGGATTTCATATAGCAAGCTACATATCGGCGCCAGTCGGCGCCAGCGTATATATTACATAGGTGTACTACCTATAACCAGATGATTGGTCTCGGCAAGAGAAGGGAATGATCTTGAAGTGATTATGTACAATCTAACATCGTCTAGTTACATGTGATTAACCAGTCTGGTCATCTTAGCATACAGGAAAAGCTCCGTGGCGATCAATGCGCATCGCTAATTCAAATGGGAAGGGGACATTCGTAAAAGCAAAGAAAGAGATGGTTTGAAGGGGATCATTGCGAAACGACTCCGATGTAGGCTTGCTTGCGGACAGGAAGTAATAGCAGAAAGGGGTATCTATAACTGAATGAGATCGATCTCCGAGAAATCCGGTGGACTGCGGCTGAAAATGGTACGGCACTTGCCGTCCAGCGCTTGATACTCGTTACTGATCCAGATGTGCTTGCTGAACCGTTGAGTTCGATAAATCTCATCATCGCTTACTCCCAGATCGTCTCGCGGAATCCATATCACGGGACGTTTTGCTCGTAGAGCGTCATGTTGAAACGCTCGCTGAGTCAGTTGATCACGCTCATCTGGTGTGAGATCCTCCAATTCATCATGAATACCGGCAAACAATGCGTGCCCTATTTTACCCGTAGGAGGGCCTTGGGCTTCGGCGTCATGCGTGATCTTCTCACGGACTCGCTGCAAGGTCGGCACTGAACCGCTCGAATGAGTTCCAAAATATTTAGACCGTGTTTTTGATGACCGATCTGCCCATGAATGATGGCGGCTGTTGTGGAGAGTGCCCGTCTGAGTCGATGCTCGCCGCCCAGAATTCGCTTCGATGTTCTTCAGTTCGATCTCGTGGGCCTCCTATCTGCTTCGTGCTCTTGATATTCCCGCTCTGCCAGCTGGTGCTCGATCGTGTCGGTCTGATCTTCCTCAGGGAAGCCAAGGCGGGCGCGCTGAGCGCGACTGAACTCCTCATCACGACGAACAGCATCATCCTCCAAGGTGATCGGCAAGTAACGGATCAGCGGGCTGAAGGCTTCGTTCAGAAGGATTTGGTACCCGATTGTGAGAATCAAAACCACAATCATGCATATTGCTTGCCCTTCGCAGGCAACGTTGCCGTCCACATCACGGACCAAAAAGAACAGCCCGATCAAGCTGAGTTCCATGACATATAAGCCCGTGAAGAGCTGGTTGATAGCGCGAGGGAATAGTAGCCCGCCAGTGTCAAAGCGGAATTTGGTGACGTACAGCGTGTTATATCTGTACACGAACCAGAACAGGCCAAAGGTGATGATGTTGAAGACCAAGATCAAAGGGGATATCACACAATAGATCAAACCTGATTTCGCGCATTAGCTACATCAGAAGTAGTCCCTCTGGGGTTAAACATACCGATCGATGCGAGAGTAGTATAGACCGGAAAGAATGTTCCCCATTGCATCTGATTCAAGTTCGTTGTGCGACCCCATTTCTTTCTTGCTGTGTTATCCAGTAAGGGTGCTAGAATAAACCAGCTGAACAAGCCAACGATCTGCACTAAAGCTCCGGCACTCACTGACAGCGCCTGTAGAATCATATACGAGAAGAAATAGTTGCTCGAGGAGGGGATGTTTTGGGCCAGTAATTCTGGCCAACTGGTAACGTTTGTGACGTTATCGATGATCGTCGAGAAACTGGACGAGATAGCAACGACCAGGAACAACTGGACGAACAGGAAAGCGAAGAAGTAGTTCTGAACGGTAAGTTCGATGGCCATGCCTGTGTGTAACCCTTGAGCTCGACAGAGGAATCGGAGAATCAGGGGCAGGAGCGCCATCAAGATGGCTAAGAAAAGCGGGGGCAAGATACCCTGGATGGCAGAGATGAGCCAGTCTGGCAGCTTGGAGATCCAAGATAACCATGTGAAGGCATTTTCCAGGTAAGACAATTGAGACAGCAAACCAGTAAACGCGACGGGGAACGCCCAGCCAACCACCATAGCGCAGACGATCGTGAGAATCCCGAATGTCCTCAGATAACGCTCCCACCATTTGATTGACATGTTGTCCCAAATCACATCGTCCGGCGAGATCTCCACGGTGCGAGGGGCCATTTGTTTTGGCAGGTGATGACTGACAGCCTGACAAGCCATATGAGCAGCCACCTGGTGGTTGAACTGTATGAACGCTGAATTCATGAGGGGGAATTTCTCGGGGTGTTGCTGATCAATTTCAATCTCCAGATTTAAGCGAGCGATTTCCTTCCGGCAATAGTCTATTGTGTCCACCTTTTTGCCAATGAGCCAGAGGGAAGGCATCCAACTGAGACCAAAGATTGGCAACCTCATGGTGTCACGATCCTTTTCCCGGATGTACTTTTTCCATAGCGGCTCTCCATAGTCTTCACTGTCAAAGTCTTCATTGTACGCCACCGGATATTTCTCACCTTCGACTTCGTCACCTTCCCCGGCCTTTGTGCTTCTTGCCTTTTTGCTTTTCATCATTGTGTGATCTCTCTTCGTTTGAAGCTTCTCCTTCGGCCGGGTCCTCTGGAGCCGTGAGTGGAAACTCATCCGGTTCTGTCCTGTTGCTCGCTTTGGAATAGTTGCTAGACATTCGACTTTTCCAGAAGGGCCGTCTTGGCTTGGAGTTCGATCTGCTACGAGGAGCATCGGATGGTGCGCCATTCTCATTAATAGACGCTGCATTTCCATTCCCAATTGATGGGGTGATGCTATCGTTGCTTGGTCGCCAAGGATCGGGCAGCTCTGCGCTGTTTGTTTCGGCATTCGAAGCTCTATGTTGGAGAGGCGCGGTAGTCCCAGCGTCTGGTACATAGCCCCTGACCTAGTCAGACTGCCGTCGATGTCGCCCTCCACCCGTTTCAGAGTTCCCAGAACGGATCTGCCCAAATTGCCAACACTTTGACCAACCATCCCTACCGCTTCCACAGCTGGGTCGAAGGGCTTGCGCTTTTTAGGCTCTCCAGAGTCGGCACGGTGCTTTCCATGAACATCGCGATGCAAAATCTGGTTCAATGTGTGAGCTTGGTGCGGATCACCTGAGCTGATACCGCCGCCTGCAGCTAGTTGCAGCGCATGCTCGTCGGTGGCTGCTTCTGCTTCCCCCTACCTCCTTAGGTCTCAATCCGGATTTCTTCGCTGCGGCCTTCGCCTGCTTCAATTGAGCTTTCTTGCATTTAATGATCAAGTCCGTCTCTGCAGACTCTAGCTTCAATGCTAGCGCATCACGTTGCTTCACCTTCTCGTTCAGATCGTCAAAATTGCGATTGATCCATATATTTCGGATGCCACCCGGGGAAAATCATACAGTGACTCCAAAGCCTCAACAGACAGCCAGCTGTCTGGGATGGCTGTTACCAGCACTGTTGTTGCAGAGGCTCGAAGTCGATGCTGTGGTGAAGTGAGGTAGGCTTGCCGAAGGCGGATATACCCTTTCAGCTCATCGAAGAATATGGCGCACACATAGACAATAACGATGACAGCCATAATTAGATGTGCCCAGTAGCGCTGGACGTGTTCTGGGGCCACATTACCCCAGGCCAATTGGTCAAGGCCAGTGACATTCCATGTGTCACCTGTCCCAGTTGCATTCTTGAAGTTTCGGTCTTTCCCATCCACTTTGTTCAGGGGCAATAGGACGGGCAACACAATGCAACCTAGCGGAACGAAGATCTTGAGAAGCATTCGCAAGTATCGCAGAAAGAAGTAGGCATCCAGGCCACATTTCTGGATGAATTCGGAACTAGAGGTGCGAAAAACAGGGCCAATCCAACTAAACAAACCCGGCGGGGACGGTTTTGTGCGCTCTCTGTCCGGGACCAAATACGTTCTAGGTTGACTATGGAGAAGCCCAATGTTAGTGGTAAGTACTGATACGGACGTTGTCAGGGATACTCACTAGATACGAGTGAGTTTGCCTTTGAGAAGCAAAAACAGCAAGAATTCAACAGCAAAGACTATCACTGCAGTTGCGAGCGAAGCCAAAAATGTCTGAATAGTGACACCTTCATTCCTTTGACCGTTCCCACCCGCGTGCTCCAGGGCCAGCCCAAGATCGGTCGCCATCTCTGCGAGCAATGGCGCTGATGCAATGTAGTCGATTTTCGGCGAGGCTCAGAAAAAATGATCCGCAGTGTTCACAATGATGTCGTCGAGAGAAGATCAATTGAGGTTGAGGGAGCATTCGTGAGAAGAGCGCAAGTCGAAGTCATAAGATTAGAGAGAATAATGCACCGCTCATGGATGCAAGGAAAAGAGCCCATCACTTCTCATTGTCAATGATCATTCAGCAGACGGGGCAGATGTGAAACATCCCGCAGATAAAGAGATCGGATCCTTATATAAACAATAGAGTACATACAGGGAGGCAACAACGAGTGAACATGCAATAAACAAGGTGTCGACAAGTTGATATGCGCCAAGGGCACAGATAAAATAATGACAACAGTGGCACCAAGAGATTCCTGATTCGACCGATTTCACCGTCTAAACTAACGCTAGCCCTGACAATGCGATCATTTGTGGAACTTCACTGGGGATGGTCGATCACTACTCCGTAGGTAAGTTAGTTTATTGGACTAAAATATGACATCAAGCGCCTGCTACAACGAAAGATGAATGCAACGGCGCTTCTTGAACAATTGGTCCACTAACGAGGGTACTACTGTTTCGTACTCTACAGATATTTCTGAAGGATTGGTCAGAAAGCGCCCCGATTATTGATCCTGCTTAGATACTTGTGTCTATTTTTGCTAGCGATGTAGGTAGAGATCTCTTAGAGTGTTATTCATCTTCCCACTGTCTGGATTCCTGAGGCATTCTTGAGGGTCGATTGATTGTTCCTTCCTTTGTTGCACTTGTTGTACTTCCTAACTTGATCGGGATCTGCAGCTTCCAAGTATGGCAGGGATTCATTGTCCCCCTTTCCCGCGATAACATATGATTGGCTGCCCTTATTATGTGGAGTGACGTCGTTTCCATGGGTCTGAGTGCCCGATTTACAACACAGCCACAATGCCCAAGCCGCTCAGGTTCCTTAATCACGTGAACTGTGGCTCGGCATTCGCGTTGTCCCGATAAGGAAACCTCTTTACGCGACGGTTCGCGTAGCAACGCGTCGGACGGCTAATTCGACCATTGAAAAGAATTCCCTTGATAGGAGAATCCGCAACAACAGTTGACCCTGTCCTCAATCAAACGAGCACCACAACCCATCAACGCTATTATTCTCCCTATACGTCGGTCCTTTGAATATTAACTGCTACAGAGGAAATCCCTGATATCAGGACCGACACAACATGTCTTCTCCAGCTTCTTCGCGCCGTAGGGCCGCCGGCCAAAGACTCGGCAACCTTCTTCTCCTGCGCGCTCAACCCGTTCTCGTCAGCTCCAGACCAGCAGTCCGACCCCAAGGGCGGCAGATGAACAGTCACAGGCAACTCCTCGTGCTTCAAGGCGATTGAGAGGTGAAAGCGGCAGTTCCCCTCGTCATCGCCTATGTTCTTCCAGTCCTCCCTTCAAAAGGCAGACAGCAGTGCGGAAACACCAGATGTTTCGAAATGGACGAGCCCAGTTCACCAATGAGAGCATCTTCTTACTGTGGATGAAGGAGACAGGACACCTAGAGAAATGCTCCTACCATGAGAGGTATTGTTTGACAATTATTTTTGGCAACGATCTACACATACTGACCGCTCCGCAGGACTCCCTCCCCCATTCGGTACATGTCCAGCTCCAGTCCAACTCGAGCTCAGAATCGCCAGTCACGGCGTTCCGACATTCCAGCAGCAGCAGTGGATCTATTCGTCTCGTCCAGGACCCGGCATCGATAGCAACCGTGCCGTGTCCCGCCGCAGTGACCTTCACTCTGGCGGTTTTCTTTCTAGCCCGAACCGCCGCCGCAGAGTCTTTGTCGATGCTAATGGTATGCTGCGGCCGATGGCGATCCACGCTCCGATGCCACCTTTTCGAACATCACCCCAGATACCTCTGAGGCTGAGGCCTTGGGCGGTAGCTCAACTCGTGTGATTTGGGGTTACAAACATCTCTCCATCCAGGATTTCATGTCCGCATTCAAAAACTTTCCTCTACAACTTCCAAACAAAAGTACCGTCTGTGGGCAGGAGGCGCCAACCGAGGATGAGACTCGTATAATGGGTGATTCCGCAGGAGAACGGAAATCATCAGCATGTTTGAGCACCATGCGACAACTTGGAGTGACCAGCTTGAACTTTGGATGCGAGAACCTGAAGGCGTACCATCAACACTCAAGCTATGGCATCAGTTGCATGCTTATCCTCAAGAGATCATTCCATTGATGGATCAGACAGTGACGGATGTGATGGTGGAGCTTGCGATCAAGGGAGAATGGAGCGCCTGCGGGGCTCAGAATCAACGAAACCAGAATCATAACAGAGGCTGAGCTCTGGTCCTGCTGTTCCCAGCTCTTGACGCGCTGAGTTGAGACCGGATCGGATGCCACAGAACGAGATCCCGATTCTTTGTCGGTGAAGTGGAGACCGAAGGCATTTCAATAGTTCTGCCTTTTGGGTCTTCGATTCGACTGTGAACATGGAGTCTTGATCCTGCAGGTATGCATTACGATCCCCTTTTTTGGCTTCGTGTCTAATTTTCTTTCAGACATGGATAAGCTGGTAACGCATCAAGGGCTTGGTCATTTCGGACGACACCATCATTCCGGATATGAAAGAAGGTACGATAGTTACTGCCTTTGATATCCTTCTAATCAGATTATCGTAAACTAACTCATCTTTCCAGCTTTCTTCCGATGCCAAGTCTGCAACCATGGTGTTCAAGTCGACATTGATCGTGGAAAGATTGCCGAAACCCACCGAGTGCCCACGTCCGGTGTGTAAGGAACGGAACTCGATGCAACTCGTCCATAACCGTTGTGTATGTTGCGGACAAGCAGGTCATCAAGTTGCAGGAAACGCCTGACAGCATTCCCGATGGTCAGACTCCTCACTCGGTTTCGCTTTGCGTGTATGATGAGCTGGTGGATGTCTGCAAGGGCTGGTGATCGGGTCGAAGTGACTGGTCTATTTTCCGTGCAACCCTGTGCGCGTCAATCCTCGCCAGCGTACACAAAAGTCTCTGTTCAAGACATACGTATAGATGTCCTTTCATGTTCAGAAAATCGATCGGCAAGAAGTTGGGTATCGACGGTCTCGACCATCGAGCAGGAGCTCTCGGAACCAGGCGGCTGGGGGATGCAGAGACAGACACGCAGGCTCACTGCGGAGGAGGAAGAGAAGATTAAGCGAACTGCCACCAGACCTGATCTGTATGAGCTTCTCTCTCGGTCCTTGGCCCCCACGCATCTATGAGATGGACGACGTTAAGAAGGGAATCCTGCTCCAGTTGTTCGGAGGCACCAAATAAGACCTTCCAGAAGGGTGTAACCCACGATACCGTGGTGATATCAATGTTCTTCCTCTGGTGGACCCATCCACATCCAAGTCCAGCTTCTTCGTTACGTCCATAAGATTGCCCCTCGTGGTGTGTACACCAGCGGCAATAGGCTCTTCCGCTGTCGGTCTTACGGCGTACGTCACCCGCGATCCTGAAACCCGTCAGATGGTCCTCGAGTCGGGTGCCTTGGTTCTCTCAGACGGCGGTATCTGTTGCATCGACGAGTTCGACAAGATGAACGAATCCACTCGGTCCGTCCTGCACGAATCATGGAACAACAGACAGTTTCTATCGCCAAGGCCGGTATTATCACTACTTGAACGCTAGACCAGCATCCTGGCTTCCCGCCAATCCGATCGGTAGCAGTACATCCAACTTGCCCGTTCCCCAGAATATTGACTTCCCCTACCTTGCTGTCCCGATTCGACTTGGTATACCTCGTGCTGGACCGAGTGGACGAGCAGGAAGATCGTCGGCTCGCTAAGCATCTTGTCAACATGTACCTGGAAGACAGACCCGAAAACGCTGCCGAGGAAGAGATCTTGGTAACCGTGCCTTTTCTCCCCCCACCCAGCCGGGCCGTCGAAGGCCATCGACTGACTGTTCATGTACTGCAGCCAAATCGAATTCCTTACAGCCTAACATCACCTACGCCAAAGACCAAAGTTCACCCAGTGCTCACTCCCCGCCGGTAAGGCCTTGTCGGATGCCTACGTTAACATGCGTAAGCTTGGGATGACATTCGGTCTTCTGACCGCCGTATCACCGCCACCACTCGTCAACTGGAATCCATGATCCGGCTGTCGGAAGCGCATGCCCGTATGCGGCTGTCGCCCGAGGTCACGGCAGATGATGTGGAGGAAGCCGTGCGCTTGATCCGCTCCGCCATCAAGCAGGCGGCCACTGACTCTCGGACCGGTCTGATTGACATGAGCTTGTTGACGGAGGGCACTAGTGCCAGCGAGAGACGCAGCCGGGAAGCACTCAAGCGCGCCTTGCTGTCTGTGGTGGATGATCTGTGCAGCAGCAGCGGTGCGGCTCGCTGGGCCGAGGTCTTCAAGGTCTTAAGCGAGAACAGCAGCACGGAAGTCGACGGAGGCCAGTTTGCGGATGCCGTTCGAGCGCTGGAGACCGAGGGAGCTGTAAGTGTTGTCGGCGAGGGTGCGCGGAGGAGTATCCGGCGCATTGGCGGCGCTCTTCTGTAGACCAGCTCTCTAAAACGGATGGGATGATGAGACATGATGGAATGGTCTTCTGCAAATAATTTCTACTGGTATCTACTTGATTTGACTACATATTCTCGGGTTGTCTGGCGATGGATGGTGTTGGGTGTTTGGGCTGTTACTGCGGCATAATATGGGTTTACTTTGCACATGAATACCGATTCTCCAACTTTAGGTCTGATTAACACAATCAACGCCTTTACAGTTTCAGTGTACATGGATGGTGCAGTGATCGGTCTGCTGTAGACTGGCTACCTCTCTATCTTATATTGGATGCTCGCGATTGAGGGCCTGTGGATGTATAAAGAAGTATTCTGTACTGGGCCATACGCTTCCGTACTGACACCAGTCCAGATGTGGTAATATGTCCTCCAGGATGGTCCCGCACTAGCAGAGCACATGTTGCAATAGAAGAAAGTGAGAGGCCAGACTGCGAGAGTGAGACTTCTCCGACCCATAAATCAAGCTACACTAGCATGCAACAATTGGTGTCAGTCCGCTTACTGCCCGAGCAAATAAACGTAATTAATCCCAAGATTCTTAAAGAAATCCACTAAGAGACGCAGTATGCGAGATTCCACTGCAGGCAAAAATCATCATAAGTTGGCAGAGCTGCAGAGCATGCATTAGATATTTGTCAGGTACTCCGTACATTAACTTCAATAATTTACAATACACCACGATGGAGGTTGAAGAGCAGGCTTGGCATATGAAGCTGGAAGAAATCTGTGGGTGGGCTGGGACTAGGACTTAGCTTGTGCTGGTTACTGGTAAGGGTCTCTCGGAGCTACTGAGTCTGGACGTCAAGCTAGATACCGCCGCCCCCAGTTCTCTCGCGATTTATCCGCTATCGTTCACTTGGTTATTATAGTAGCCCATCGATCAATCTCTATCAACCGAAGCGCAATTTCTTTTCGTCCCTCTTCCTGCTTCGATTTTTCTCTGCGTCCGGAAATGCCGGCCATCTCCCGCTCTGTCTGAACAGCCATCCCACCACTGTCTCAACCCCATCCAACCTGATTGTGTCGACCTAGCTCAGTAGCATAACGCCATTCGTGCTATTCACCCATCATGAAGTAAGTGACTTTCTCGTCGATCAATGCTCTCGGGCCGTCATTGACTGACCGTCCCCGCCTTCCTCAAGGTTCGGAGAACATCTCCGATCGTCCATGATCAAGGAGTACTACTGGTACTACATCGCCTACGGAGACCTCAAGAAAGCCCTCAAGACCGGCTACGTCAGCGAACCCACCCCCGAAAACCCCAAACCCGATCGCAAGCCATGGACAGAAGACAACGAGAAGAGCTTCGTCTCGCTGCTGGAGAGTGAGCTGGACAAGGTGTTTAACTTCCAGAAGCTCAAGAGCGAGGATATCGTGCGGCGCATCCAGGCCAGCGAGAAGGATGTGGCGGATGTTGTCTCGCGGCTGGATAATGCGAGTAATGCGAGGAGGCAGAGTCTGCGGCCATCGCAGCCGCCGCCCTCGGATGAGGATTTCCTGCTGTTGGAGCAGGTGCTGAGTGACATCATTGCCGATGTACATGATCTGGCCAAGTTTACGCAACTGAATTATACAGGGTTTCAGAAGATTATTAAGAAGCATGATGTACGTTCTGCATCTGCAGCTTCTTTTTTTTATTTTTTTGGTGCAACTTCCAGGAGGCTAATGTTTGTATCAGAAACAAACGGGATGGCATCTCAAGCCGGTTTTTGCCGCCCGACTCAAAGCCAAGCCTTTCTTCAAGGACAACTACGATGCATTCGTCGTGAAGCTTTCAAAGCTCTACGACCTGGTCCGCACCAAGGGTAACCCGTCAAGGGAGATTCCGCGGCTGGTGGCTCGCAGCAGAACTTTGTCCGCCAGACCACTAAATATTGGGTTCATCCGGACAATATCACCGAATTGAAGCTGATCATTCTCAAGGTATGCAAAGCTCTGTCTTGATGTATATCTCGTCGAACTGACTATGACAGCACCTTCCCGTTCTTGTCTTCAATGCCAACAAGGAGTTTGAAGAAAAGGATGCCGCCATCTCATCCATCTACTTTGACAACACTAACACATGGGAGCTATACGAGGGTCGTCTGAAAAAGACTGAAGAGCAGAGGCCATTCGACTTCGTTGGTATGGCGGGATGGAAAGCGATCAGATCTTCGTCGAGCGAAAGACTCACCGTGAAGACTGGACCGGTGAAAAGTCGGTCAAGGCGCGTTTCTCGCTCAAGGAAAAGCATGTCAACGCCTATCTATCCGGTCGCATGACGGTCGAGAGCATTTTTGAGAAGATGCGCAGAGAAGGAAAGAAGAGCGAACAGGAAATCGCCGATTTGGAACAGTTGGCGCGCGAAATCCAGTACCGAGTCATCACACGTCGACTGGAACCTGTTACCGGACCTTCTACCATCGCACAGCTTTCCAGCTTCCGGGTGATGCCCGAGTA